TGAGCAAACGTGGAAAAGGCGGATCCTTTCTCTCGAAAGGACGATATCCTAGTGCACAAGAATGTGTCCTAGGTCCTGGATACAATACGTAAAATTAAGCCAAGCGGATAATCTTAATTTATGGAAAACCACGATGCGCAGATATAAATCAGCATATGCAAACGCTTAGAAACCGCGGACGTGCATTTCTAAAAAGTATTTTTCTCGTTATATTCTTTTTAATTCTAAGTACGGCAAAAAACAGCATTATACAATGCATTGTACAATGCAGTCGCTAAGAAATAAGTTTATAGATATTTTAAGAAGAGTTTATTGATATTCCTCTCAAAAATAAAATATTTCTTATGCAGACCTATTTTGATCATTGGCAGCAATGCAATGTAAATAGCAATGTAATATCTTTTTAATATACCTGTAATCTCAGTAAAGATTATATTTTTAAAAGATAAATAAATTATCTATATAATATGTATAAGAACTCTGTTATATATAAGTAATAATGTACATGTATAAGTCTTTGTATACAAAGCTTCAATACATGTATGTATGAAACTGAATATACTGCATGATAAAGTTTAATTTAATTTATCAGAATTTATTAAAAATGTTCCATCTCCTAGCTACCATAATCAAATGTAGCTGATAAAACATTTTTAATGAAATCTGATAAATTAAACTAAATCAGTATTCATTACAAACCACCAAATTTCTGTATTAATTAAAAATAAGTATTATAATATATATAGCCACACGTTTGTAAAACATTTGGAAAAAAATTGTTTTTAATTTATACAAATTTAATTAGAGTTTAACTTGCCATAGTTCATTAAAAATGTCCCATATTTTTACATACATAGGTATATTCAAAATATAAATATAATAACAAAATTTAAATAAAGAAACTAATTTTTAGAATCATCTTTCTCAGTCGTCTCTAATTAGAAGTAAAAAATACTTCTGTCTTTTATCCGAATCATCATTCCTGCCATTTTTTGGACTATTAACGAATTAGCGACCTCGAAGCTCAGCTTCTGCTTCCTTGGTCGGCAATTACGTGCACGACGTTCGTGGGAGGAGTTCCTGTTAAAGGAAGTAGGTACTCTCACAGGACTAGTCTCGCGTTGATAATAGGACTTTTCAATAGAACCTTTAATGATTATTCCTCATTATTCCGATCCGTTTCATTTGTCCCTCCCTCACCTTCAATTTCGATTTCTCTTCGCATCATCAATAAATTTTATCTGATCTGTTAGAAATTCCACTTTCTCTTTTTCGTACTATAATTAAATGGCATAAAATTAGTGATACAATTCTTTAACCGCAGATATTCTTTAATTATCAAAAATGTAGTTAAGTTCATGTAATTATCATTGATAACGATCATTAATCTTTAAATTTAATTAAAGACAAAAAATTTCAACAAATAAACCTGTTTAATTAATAGTCTAATTGTTAAAATAAGATTCTACGTAACAATTGAAACTTATATTAATTTTTTCTTAAAATTTAAATCAGATATAATTTATTGCAAAAATATAACAAATAAATAGCAGAAGAATGAAAATTATATTTTTCATCATGTTTGATCTGTGTGTACATGTATATGTGTGTGTGTGTGTGTGTGTGTGTGTGTGTAAACGTTATTTAACAATAATACTATTAAATTAACATATATTATATTCAATAAATAATATTAATATTCACTGAAAGCATTTACTTCTTTTTATATCCTTTAAAACATGTATGCTAAAATATTCATTGTTCTTTAAAAATCTGCAAACAGCGAAGCTAAATCCGATACCTATGCTCCATATGAAATTTCGCCCATTATTTATGATTGAAAATTCTCTTTTTCCGATCCTCTTTTCCCATGCCTACGAAAGAGGCGAATAATGTCGAAAAATTCCGATTCTACTCATCACGCTGCTAAACTGTAAGCTTTTTACAATATTTCACTTTTATGAATAAGAATGCAGTTCACGCAAAGCAGATATTCGAGGACGGTAGAACTTCCTCCAGAAAGGCTTTCGTAAGTTCACCTAAACCCTTTTAAAACTTCAAGGCCTACTCGCACATCCTCTTTTGCACTTCCCCCTTTTCAAAATCCCTAGCGGAGCTTAAATTCAAATCTCGGCTGCACTTCATGTTCTCACACAGAACAGCTTAGTATGTTTTAAATATGTCTAAACCAGACTCAAGTATATTTATGAGCATTCATTCTTATATGTCATTAAGTACATATATTGTAGTTTTATATAGTAATCATTTCACGTATCCAATAAAAACAATATCTTCCTAAATAAAATTATTTTAACCATTTTACTTTATATAGCATTTATATATAGCATGTTTGCACCACGTGGAAACATATGATATTTATAAACAAATCAGGAACAATCATTTTATCTCTTACAATTAGAAAAATATATTTATGATAATATAAACTAAATAACTTTTTTATGTAATTTAATTAAATTAAATCTTTCATTATTGTAATAAAATAATTTAAGAAAGGGATAAATTAGAATATGAAAGAGATGAAAACACGTATAAATATTTTCTATTTTTATAGTGGTTAATGGAAGATAATTATTTCAATTTCAATCACGGAAAGAACGGTTTTGCTGAAGTATTTAAAAATTTAGCTAGATACAGATCTGAAAATAATTTTGTTGGACCATCAAAATCAAAATAATTTATATAAAACATTCAAGCTGATTACTAAAATGTCAAATTTTTTTACAGCGTTATCATACTTTAGCGACCTACTATAATAATTTTGATGGTGCAACAAAATTATTTTCAGATCTGTATCTAGCTAAATTTTTAGATACTTCACCAAAACCGTTCTTTCCGTAAAAGTATATTAAAATAATCACTCGCGTTTCAAACTGTCGATTATAAATATCACAAAGCACACATATTTCTCAAATATTGACTAACACACGAGAAGCACGCGTCATAAGAGATAAGTTCAGCGAACTGTTTTCCGAGTAGGTTTTCTTGTTTTATTCTCAATATCTCATTTCTGCGGGCTAGAGTGTGTGTGACGTTATTATACGCATGTTTTTGCTTTTTAATGCAAAATCATGCGTATAATAACAATACATACTCAAAAATCACGGAAAATGTTTAATTATAACAAACGAGAATAATTTCGATAATGAAATTTGAATTATACCACTCTTTATGTGAGACACGTCGTATCTAACATTCAGTGCTTTTTATCGCGGGACTTCAATATTTATATAAAAACGATCGACCTATATACTGTAATTTTGGAACAAAATTAAACACACTTGAAAATACATTAAAATAAAAAAATATTATTCAAAACATCCTTTCAAAGCTAATTTAAAATATTTGATTCCAATTAATATTTGGCATATAATATGTATGTATGTAAACAGTCATCTTGAATAAAAATTTTATTAGAGAAAAGAGAGAAAGAGAAAAAATTTTTTAAAAAAACCTTTTTTAAAATAATGGATATGAATATGTGCATTGTATAATATACACACATTCTCTGTCTTTTTCTTCTTATTCATATAAGAAATCAATATAATTTATAAGACATTGGTTTTATATAAACAGTTACGATAAATTTTAATTAATACGTATGAGAATATCCTATAGTTTGATGCGGATCCTTGATGATTAAATACCGCGTTAATATCTCGAGCGCAATGTGGATTGCAAACGCGCAATCTGTAGCGTTCAAATCTCGGAGCTGTAGGCGGCTTAGGCTCATACATTTACTGCCAATCAACCGCTGTCAGTTACCATATCGATTTCACGGCACATGTGAGATATCGCAATAGTATTAGATAAATTATCTATAGATATTACTTTCTTGTGGGCATTTTTCTAAAATATCTTCAATATCTATCTCCTTTTAAAAATAATTAATTATTTCTTTTTAGATAAGATAAAAATCTAAGGAAATGAAAATAGATTCATATGATGATTGGAACCAGCACTTTGCTCGCTTTTGTACGAACAAGTCTTTAGCCGGAGCACAATTCCAGAGTTGCTCTGACCACGGTAACGCGTTCGTTTGCCGGAACATCATTTTTCATCCGTCGTCTCTCATCTGGAGTCCCGACTATGATTTATCGCGCCGCCACATCGTCGAAAAACTTGCTAATGCGTGCCGCGCAACGGCAGGATGAAGATGCACTGCCGTTTTCGCAGCACGAGAAATCCCGCAAGTATCGACAGGATTTTCATCGAGCGCGTTAGTGGAAATTAATCGCAGCTTCGCCGCGCTTTTTCTCGGCTTTTGCACCGTAAAAACTTCGCAAGTACTTCCCACAAAAGAATAATATTTAATCTGTTATTTCATATACTAACTTTATATGTAAAATTATTCACTATCTAGGTCTAGTGCACTCGTTACAGTAACTTTGTATATTGATAGCTTGAAAATGCTATCTAAAATTCGTTAAAAATTATTGAAGACTTTCAATTAAAACTTTTTCTAACATATGGAAAAATTCAGAAATCAATGAAACTCAAGAGTATCAGAAAGTACAATTAAAACTTACATAAAATTTGATTATTTGATATAATTAAAATTTAAAAAAGTTCAATCGTTTAATATACACGGACGTTTATTTAATATTGAAATATGTTGTTTACATCTAAATGAATTTTATTTCAATAAAGATATAAATTATTAAATTATATCTGACCTTGGAAATTAAACATATGATTCCGATATAAAACAAACCTTTCTAAGAAAAATTTTATTCTACATTTATTAAAAGATCAGTACTCTATCTCCAGAAAAATGCTCGATTCAAATCGTAGGATAAAGCGATAAATGTGTTTAAACAAAAAATATTAAATATATTTATCGTAAATCGATAAAAAAATCTATTTATCGGTAAAAAATTATTTAAAAATCTATTTGTCGCACTACTCAAGGATTTCTATACACAATGTCAGAATCGCAATTTAAAATATACGCACTAATTGTAAGGTGCAAAACAACTCACCAACTGGACACCGTTGTCTCCAAGAATTTCTGGCAGTCATCGCGTTCTTTGGCACAGAAATTGACGCAGTTGCTTTATCTGCAACATGAACATTGATCGGGAAATATTATACCTGCGTATATTAAGACATTAATTTGTGATCACGACTGTTAGATACATTGTTTGATCATTGTTCGATTAGAAGGCCATTGGGGTTTGCCTGCTGCACCGTGCAAACTTTGGCACGTGTTGCGCCAAAAGTTGGCGCCGTTTAGCGCGTCGATAAAATCTCAATTATAGTCCTTGACGTATCGCATAAGAAGCCGATATTTATAACCAAGCATCATACACGACCCCCTAATATTAATATACCCGGATGGTATTACATCACTGACATGTTTCATATTGACACTTTAGTATAACAAATTTAAGAACTTTCTTATTTATTATATGAAATCACGGAAACTCCACATTTACCATCTATAGTGGCATATAGAGTAAACTCGAGTAAGATGGCCATAGAGGAAAGATAGCCAACCTATGTTCTTTCAATCTAGCTCGCCATGAAACATCGAATAAACACCGAGTTTACCCTATTTTATTGTGACGTAGCTATGTTAAAAATACTTTATTTTTAAATGTGATTATATCGTTAGCTCTGCGTCACTTCAAGTTATACGCAAACACATAATTATAATGATGTTCTAAAAAACACATAATTAAAATGTGTTTTTTAGAATATCATTGTCCATGAGATTTACAAATTTATTTCGAAATGCTAATGTATCATTTAATGGAGTCGTTAAAAATAATAATAAATATTTTAACAAATATGGAAAAACTACAAAAGATGAATAAATCAGAACAGACTATGTACTGAAAGTGTAGAATAATAAAGAAAGAAACCATTCTAATTTATCATCTTGCGTGAGATTTTACTGGAAATCCTTACGCTTTAATGCATCGATAAAATCTCAATTATGTGAAGTGAGACGTAGGTATAGAAGTCGACCCTTCTCCACACATCGCGTTATATACACATAAAAGGACGTAAATGTGTAATAGGTGTGTATAAAGCTGTACCATTGCACACTACAGGAATCTAGATTATTATCTAGACTCATTGGCTAACGGCGCGACCGCTACAAATTCGCACCGGATATGCGAGATACGATGAATCGCGGTATCTCGTGCTGGTTTTAATTGAAGCCCTTACATATATATAAAGGAATAGAGCTAAGGTTTATCTACCGCCAAATATGTTCCGCGAAAAGCAAGAAACAGGATTATCTCCACCACGTCTATCAGGCAAGATTCGCGCACGCTATCTATGAATTACCTGAAAGGACAATTTCATGGACATAGAAATTGTTTTCATTTTAGAATCTGGATGACAAAAAGGAGTACATTTATTACGCACAACAAGCGAAATTATTTATTCTTTTGTTTGGTAAACTGCAGCCGATTAATTAGCACATTTGTGAATAAAAAATAAACGTTACACCGCCATAAATGATGAATGAAATATAAACTTACATTATAAAATTTTAGAGGAAAATATACATAGAATATTTTGAGCAAATATTTGCAATATATATTTGCAAAATAATAAATAACTTGCAATAATCTGTTATCGTTATCGTATACTAAGCAGATATTATAATTTTTTTACGAGCTTCTAACAAAAATAACTAATAGTCTGTAGACAACTATTTTTGGTAAAACTATTATTAGCTTTAACTCGCTCATTTTATTATAAATGTGACTCAAAGATTTTATTACAAGTGTAACTTATATATAAGGTTGCACATTATTCTTAGTCTCATTAATTACGGAAGATGACACGTAAAATGAAAAAGGTGAAGTGAGCTTGTCCTAATTGAAGAGCACTGCGAACTGCCACGAGAAAGCAGCATCTTTCATTATCAATGTAACCGCGAGAAAAGTTTAAAAACCTTTTTACTTTTTTCTGCATTTCCTTACAACTGCATGTCTTAAAGAAAAATATCACAGAAACACTTCTACATTCTATGTATTTTAAAACGTCTCTAATTATTATTTTCTTTATTTTCTCTCTCTCTTTCTCTCAAAATATTTACAATTAACTTTTTTTATACGTGCAGATTTATGCTTTTCAATTAAATATCACGAGAGAAATCGTTATATATGACTATTTCCGTCAGAGTAAATTAAACTATACAATTATAAAAATCAATTTGTGCATAAAACTTTATTTTTTTCTATTTCTACCATACTTTGATCACATTTTTTCAGCGAGTAGAAAAACAAAAATAATATAATAAATTGGCGTAAAATTAAAATTCTTTAACGATTGGAATCCTTTAACAATTCAAATCGTATACTCCGTTTATAATTCACCAAATTATTGCTCTTGACATAACATATGAAGTACATATATGTATCCTACATTTATATGCATACTATGCATATAAATTAATTAAGAGGTACAATACACTATCGTTACGCGGTAATCATAATCCGCGCGATGTATAATGGTGCATCCAGATATTCCCCGTAAGATACTTAACTCTTTTATGGTCGGTATAATACTGTATAAAGAGAGTCATAAATTTTTCATGCCAGGTAAAATTCTAGAATTTAGATATATCAAGAAATAGGCAAGAACAGTAAATAACGCGCGAGAAAATATCCCGTTTCGATTTCAGAAATCAATTACCAGTGTCCGTGCAATATGTATTTCTCCAATTCCATTAAATATTTCCGTATTTCGAAAGATTGATGAAGATTCATGGCCTGTCACGCAATGTAATAATAAATTCTTCACCCATCAAATTCACAATGGATGGAGAATTCACAATCGACAAAATTTTCTAACATTTTTTTCCTATTTACTTTTTGATAAATCTGTCACTAAATCAGCTAGAAATTAATGAAGAAAACTATCTACATATTCTGCGTGAATTTTCCGAATGTCTTATCTCGATACTATATGCGTGCTGAAAATCTTTATTTAAAATAATGGAAAGGGTAGATATTTAAATTAAACTTTAAAAATTCATGAATGCATTAAAACGTTAAAGAGGAGAGATTTAAAAAGCTTTGTTTAAAAAGACGAGAATGTACTAATTAAAAATAATTATAGAGAAATAGATTATTATAAATCTGATTTATCTTTTGTAACTCATGACTTTCTCAATTATACAATTTCAATAAACAAAGATGTGTAATTATACAACTTATAAAATAAACGTAGCCTATTTATAGTGTATGTATACCTAGTAAATTTTCAGATTATTTCTTTTCACATTTCAAGGAGAGGAAGGTCGCAATTTGCACATCGCACATTTATGTTAGCCTCGTTACTGAGTTATCCACCGGTAGCTGCCGCGTGGAAGTAATTACTGCCTCTTCTCGAGAGTGCGGCGGCTATTAATCGTCGCTACTGCTTATCATAATTAATTGCGGCATATAACGAGCAAAAGCGCCGCGCCAAAATCCGCGGCCCGACAACATCAGGAGTTCTCACGAAATCTAGCTCGCGCGATATTCAATAGCATGCAAGCCGCGGTGGGTCGCGGATTTATTGTCGCTCTGGCGTCGAGCGTTTATCCGGGATGGGTGGCGTTTTAACGGGCTCGATATTTAACGGGCGTCGCCGATAATATTTCTCGCCGCTCACTCGTTGGCGGTGGTAGAGCAGCTAGTCAGCAGAGGCCAGAAAAAGGGATAAATGCAGAGGAAGAGAGAAGGAAATAGCTCCCATAGGACAGATTACCTACCGATAAACTGCGTTAATAATGATAATCAGTTCGTAAAGATGGGTGGCGTTACAGCGATAATATAGAGTCCCGCCAGTTTTATTATCTCACAGATTCTCATGATATAGATAGAGACAAATGCTGTTTTGTATTCCGACGTAATATTAATATTAGAGCAAAATAATTTTATGAACTACATAAAACATAAAAAAAAACTAATTAAATATAAAGTGTAAGAAGATGTCTTTTACTAATTCTGTTAAAAATTTAAGTTAAAATAATATTCTCACTTTTTCCACAGCTTTATTATGTTGCAACACGATACCGTGGATCGTGCGCGCTTCAACGGAAACACTGACGTTTACAATAATTGAAACCCAATCCGATGACGTTTGTAATAATTGAAAACTGGAGTTACTTCTCAAACGGTAACGGAGGACTGCTCGATCGATCGTTTCTACGAGAATTCCTATTAAAGTTCCGGCCGGAGTTATACAAGAACTCCGTTCGTGAAATCGGTAGATATGTGCACACGTGTGCACACGTTAGACACATATACGCACACGCACACATCGACGTCGACAAATGGCTTTCGTATATCTCTTGGCGCCCGGCAAGACATGCCGCAGGGTTGGAAAACGCGAAAAAGGACGATATTCAGTTCGCGAAATAACGTTTGTAAACCGAAAGGGAGATTATGCGGGTTATGCGGGTGGACATTATAAAGCGATGTTTTTGGTTTCTATCCAAATACAATGTCCCGGTGGTGATATTCGCGACGCGCACGAACGACTGATGCCTCCATTTCCTCTGATCGCTATCCCAATCTCATGACTTGTCAAGAAAGAACGACCTAGCATGCGAATCGTTTCGTCAATTCGCTGCTCGATAAATTCGCAGTGATGTTACTGGAGCTTAAACTCGATCGATGCGGTGTGACGTCGGCGGAGGAAGGTGTTGAGATTATATCACTGTTTATGTGTTTAACAAACTCGAGAGTGCTATCAGAATAATGTGACAACTTAATAGAAAGACGGGATGTTTGTTGAAAAACAATCTTTATCCGAAAAACTGTTAAAAAATCAAGTAAAAACATAGATTCGAGGGAAGTCGATCGATGCTTCGTTGTTTCGTTTTGTTTAACGAGCACTCCATCTTAGAGCACTTTAACCGCGTAAGAGCTGGGCGTTCCACCGTCAAGAGCACTTCTGTCGAAAATCGGCTTTACTATAAATGAGAAAACGAAAATGCTTGTGGAGTAATATTGTTCGAATTACTAAGGTTAGAGTGACTAATCGAATTATCGCCATCGTACGTATTTTTAACAATGAATCGTTCTATAAGTTTGCGAACTTTCCC